GTCGGTAAAGCATGTGACTCTTGATCTCAGGGTCAAGGTCGTTGGTTCAAGCCCCACGTTGGGTGTAATGTTTAGTTAAAAAAAAAAAAAGAGCATATGTCCTGTTCAAGCAAAAATGTGAAGTAGAAAATACCAGATGAATTAGTTTCTGCTTTAAGAAATAGGCTATTTTCTCAGTCACTATCTTGATTATATGACATCACACTTGACTGGAAACAAACTAAGTAGAATCTGAAATATGTTAAATATGCATTAGACGGAAATAGTAAAAAATAAACAAATAAAACAAATTTTCTAAAAAGAAGGAACTAGTTAACCAAAATTTATCAACCATGAAATCTTCACCTTGTCTTTTGGACAACAAATTGCTTTAGATCCTGAAGGATGTTTCCTGTTTTTCGTCCAACTTCTAAATACAAGTTTGGTCGATCAAAACCAGTACAGGTAATCTGAGGATTCTTCAGTTGTAAGCAATGGATGATGTCTTCCCGGATTAAAGAACTCGCAGTAGCAGTGACTGCAACAATTGGAACCTGAATGAAATAAAATTGATTTTTCAGAAAGGAGAGCACTCATTAATTCCCAACATTTCTACTACCTTCTTACAAAGAGACTGGAAAACAATTATAAGAGTAACAATGTTAAAAATGTAACTTTAAAATTACCTTTTCAAAGAAGAAAAAGAAAAGTTCCTACTTACTTGTTTCTCAGCCTTCATACATTTACTTTGTAAAAATCAGAAATCATTTGGGGTGCCTATGTGGCTCAGTTGGTTAAGCATCGGTCTCTTGACTTTGGATCAGGTCATGATCTCACCATTTATGAGATTGGCACTGACAGTGAGGAGCCTGCTTGGGATTCTCTCTCTCTTTCTCTCTCTCCCACTCCCTCTCTTTCTCCCTCTCCCTTCCCCTTCTCTCCTCCCCCACCTGTGTGCATGCATGCACTCTCTCAAAATAAACAAAAAAAAATCTTAAGGGGCACCTGAGTGACTTAGTCGGTTAAGCGGTTAAGCGTCTGACTTCAGCTTAGGGCATGATCTCACAGTTCACAAGTTCGAGCCCCAAATCAGGCTCTGGGCTAATAGCTCAGAGTCTAGAGCCTGCCTCGGATTCTGTGTCTCCTTCTCTCTCTGGCCCTCCCCTGACTGCTCGCTCTCTCTCTCTCTAATATACATAAACATTAAAAAAAATTTTTTTTAATCTTAAAAAAAAATCATAAATCATTTAAATAAAACACTAAATCCATAACATTTTTCAATACAATCTACCTATTTATTAGCTATCTAACTCTTCATTTATTATTTCTCAAATACTTAATATATTTATAATGGTGCTGATATAAACAAGGGATATGATATGCTGTATTTTTTATTAATCTGTAATTCACAATTCATAAACCCTTTCATTCACTGAAAATCTAACTATACAAAGCAGTAAATATTTGTCTCCTATTTTATATATTGGTTTATGGCTTCTCAGATCTAGAAACACAGCTCTTTTTTTTAAATTTTGTTTTTAATGTTTTTTATTTATTTGTGAGAGAGAGAGAGAGACAGCGTGAGCAGGGGAGGGTCAGAGAGAGAGGGAGACACAGACTCTGAAATAGGCTCCAGGCTCTGAGCTGGCAGTCAGCACAGAGCCCGACGTGGGGCTCGAACCCACGAACCGCGAGATCATGACCTAAGCGAAAGTCGAACGCTTAACCGACTAAACCACCCAGGTGCCCCAGGAGATACAGAATCTAAAGCAGGCTCCAGGATCTGAGCTGGCTGTCAGCACAGAGCCCGACGTGGGGCTCGAACCCACGAACCGCGAGATCATGACCTAAGCGAAAGTCGAACGCTTAACCGACTAAACCACCCAGGTGCCCCAGGAGATACAGAATCTAAAGCAGGCTCCAGGATCTGAGCTAGCTCGCAGAGCCTGACATGGGGCTCGAACCCACAAATTGTGAGATCATGACCTGAGCTGAAGGCAGACGCTTAACTAACTAAGCCACCCAGGTGCCCCTGGAAACACAGCTCTTAATGACCTGGATAACCTCTCTCCAGTTTACTAAGTTAATCATGTTTTCAGGATACCAAGAATAAGAGGGTTTGGTTTGTTTTTCTAAATAGTATGATATATGAGTGGACAGGCAATGCATTTCTGAAAATAAGAAGTTAAGCATGGAACAGGACACCTCGTGAAGAAGTTAATAGGAAAGTCAGGCAAAAGCACAGCATGGTAGTAACAAATAACTGGTGTAGAGTCAGTTGCCTGAGTTCAAATCCTGCCTGTCACTAATTTGGTGGGAGATTTTGAGCTGTTTATTTCACTCTCTAAACTTTGGTTTCCTCATCTATAAAATGGCAACCATAACAGCAATCTCATAAAGTCACCGTGCAGACCAGACAACGACAGGACATGTAATGTGCGCCATGTAATACATGGTACACGGTAAGCACCCGAAAAGTTGCAGTCATTACTGACGTCATCACACCACCAGAAAGAGTTGTATATGAAAGCTCCAGAGCCACAGGCACTAATCCCAGATTTGCCACTGACTTCGGCAAGGGTTTCTCTTGGCCTCAGTTTTGTTTTTTGTTTTTAATATGATATGTAGTGGGCTCCGACTCTCTTCTAACTCAGATATTCCCATGTTGCCACTAGAAACGCCCTATGCCAGTGACCTGCTAAAGATGAAAAATCACCGTAAATGTACTCGTTTGCCTCTAGTGCTCTAGAAAGTCAAAGTTAAGAATGCTGCTTCCACAACTAGAAAATAAGAGGAATATATTTTATGTTTTAATCTTTTTAATGTTTACTTATTTTCGAGAGAGAGAGCGAGCGAGCACGAGCAGGGGAGGAGACACAGAATCTGAAGCAGGCTCCAGGCTCTGCACTGTCAGCCCAACGCAGGGCTCAAACCCATGAGATGTGAGATCATGACCTGAGCCGACATCGGACCCTCAGCTGACTGAGCCACCCAGGTGCCCGTGGAATGTATTAAATTGTAAAAAACAATAGCTATTTCCTTTTACTTCAGAAATGAATATAATCATTTCTCTTAGAAGTCTGTGGTACCTTATGACATTTAAAATTTATAAATGAGAGTGACGCCTGGAAATAGCACACAGGCTGGTTATGAGACCAGGTGATCACACCTCCTGGTTTCCGGGGACACTCCGGTTTATGATGTCTTCACAGCATAAATATTAATAGCTTGGAATCTCTAACATGCCAAAGCAAACTGATTTGGGCAATAAATTACGGTGTCACTTAGTCATATCAAGTTCTTAATTCATGAAAACTCCTACTCTTCAAGTTGGAGACTTTAGCTTCTTTGAAATAAGTACTGAGTTTTGTTAAAACAGGCAAAAAATATAAATTAATCTTGTGACTCTAAATTTAGGAAGGATTCACTCATAGACTTCACTGGTATAGCACCTACAGATTCAAAGCAGTATAACTATTCCATCTGCTTCTAAATTTGGGTCGTGTTGCTAATTCTCACTCAGTACTGCATAATATCATGCTTCATTCACACATTCATTCACTCAGTCACTCAGTCCAAGTAATTACTGAGCGTGGTGTGCCATCTTGGGGAAAGGCTGGGGGAGGAAGTAATGGAAAGAATCAGCATGTCTCATGGATCTCACAGCTCCTTCTCCTTGAATCTTAAAGAATTTTAAGACTGGTGTAGAGCTTTCTGCCTAGTTGCTCTTTCTGAGACTCACTTTGTCTGATTCTCTCCACATGGGAATCTTTATGCCAAGTGGTTCAGTGATTTCTCTGCTATTTTTAAACTCCTAGAAATCATATGGTGTGAAGCGGCATCAGCTGTCCCCCTGTGACTGTAGCTAGAAAGAGGAGAAGAGCACAGAGAACCGTGAGGAAAACAAGAGTCCTACAACCACCAGGTGGCATTTCTCACCACCTAGCGAATCAACAGGATTTGTGGAAACGCTAGAGGGGGAAAGGTTTTCTCAGCCATTGCTTGACAAACACCGTGTGCTATACTGAATCATCACAAGAATTGAAAATGATGCAACGGAGTCCACAGCCAGACATAATAAAAGATTTAATTCACCACTGAAAAGTGTTTGAGAACTGCATCAACTACTTAAAACTCCTCTAACACAATCCTTTTGGAATCAAAGGCCTAGGAAAGGATTACAGAAAGCAATCTTCCTATTTTCCAAAAGCTTACTTTAAACCATTCTAAATTAATGGAAGCAGACCTTGAGGCACACTGAACCTACTGACTTCCACCATACAAATATCTTTTTCTTCTATTATACTATTAACTACTATTAACATTGCTAATATTTCTATATTATTTGTACTGTTCCACACATCATTTACTGTTTGGTACTATTGCTTCTACTTTTATAGGTACAGATCTAAACTCCTTTACTGGACTATGAGCTACTTTAGGGTAGAAACTATACCTATGTTTTCTACTTCTTTCAAAACACTTGCTTGAGAAACTAGGACAGTGTCCCATGTGAAACTACAGCCCAACTCCACCACTATCTGCGTGGGAAGGTGACTTCTCTGATTCTTGGCTTTCTCATCGGAATTCATTTATTCCTTTAGCCAAGTATTTATGAAGTATCCACTATGTACCTAGTCCTATTCTAGATGATATGAGCAAAATCATCAGCAGCCTGTCCCCATCAAGAATATCCTAGTGGGGACACATAGACAATAGACAAAATGTAATACTGTAAGTTAAACAATGGTAAGTGCTTTTAAAAGTTAGCAAAGAAATAGTAGGAATACTGAATGTTGGAGGGGGGGAATTAATTTGAAATTTTTAATATGGTGGCCCAGAAGGCCTAAATGAAAAAGCAGTATTTCAGCCAAGACCTGAGAAAAGTAAGGGATCACCCCATGTGAATTATCTGGGTGAGAGGTATTCAGGGAGAGGGAAGAGAGGGAACAAAGCCCTATTGTGAGATCATGCTCGGCTGAAGAATATCAAAGAGAATGTTGTGGCCAGGACCCAGCAAATAAGGAGACAAGTAGAGAATGAAGTCCAAGACAAAATGGAAGACCAGATCACATAAGACATGGTAGGGAGTTTTGTCATTATTTAGGGCTAAATGGTCCACTGCTAGAGGATTTTCAGTGGACCTATCTGACTTATTATTCTAAAAGGATCACTCTAGATGCTGTATTGAAATAGATTGTGAAGGAGGAGAAGAATGAAAGGAGGAAGACCAATGAGGAGCCTACCGCAATGGAGATATGGAGATGGTGGCTAGTACTAGGACAGTGACAGGAATCAAGAGAGAAATTATTAGGTTCTCTATATATATCCTGAAGATCTCATGAGATTTCCTCACTGTTTAAATGGCTGGAGGAACAACCAACTGGCTCAGTGGGTTAAACTCCTAACTTGATTTCAGCTCAGGTGATGAGCCCAGGGTGGTGGGTTCAAGCCCTGAGTCGGGCTCTGTGCTGACAAATCCTCTCTGGGGATCCTCTCTCCCTCTCTCTTTCTGCCCCTCCCCCCACCTCTCAAAAATAAATAAATAAAAACATTTAAAATAAAAAAATTTTCAACTCTCTTTTTCTTCCTCATGCTCTATCCCACGTTTATGTATGTAAGTTTATTTATTTTGAGAGAGAGAGGGAAAGAGGGGCAGAGAGGGAGAAGGGGAAGAGAATCCCAATGCAGGGCTCGATCTCAGGAACCATGAGATCATGACCTGAGCTGAAATCAAAAATTAGATGTATAAGTGACTGAGCGACCCAGGCACTCTGAAGAGTTGAAAAATTTTGGCCTGAGCACCAGAAGGATAGGCTACTATTAAATGACACGGGGGAGGGGTGCCTGGGTGGGTTGGTGAGTCAGGTGTCTGACTCTTGGTTTCAGCTCAGGTCATAGTCTCATAGTTTGTGAGTTCGAGGCCCACAATAGGCTGTGTACTGACAGTGTGTAGTGTGCTTGGGATGCTATCTTCCTTTCTTTCTCTGTACATGCTTGCTCTCTATCTCTCTCCCTCAAGAATAAGTCTGAGATGCCTATGAGGTATCTAAGTAGAGAGATGTTGAGTTTTATAAAATGGTTAAAATAAAAATAGTGATAATACCAAATGCTAGCAAAGAGGCAGAGAAACTGGATCATTCATACCCTGCTGGTATTAACTGAATGGGGGATATACATTTGGGAGTCGTCAACATATAGATGGTATTTAAACTCATACGTTAGATGAATGACCAGGGTGGGTTAAGTGCAGAAAGGAGAGTAAGTCCAAAACTAAGGTTTCAGGCATGCCAGTGTTAAAAGTGCAGGGAGATGAGATGAAACAAGCAGAAGAGACTGAGTATGAAGAGACTGGAAAGAAGGAAAAGAACCAGGAGAATGTGCTAACCTGGTGACAGATAATGATCATGCTGGCTTGTTTTAAGGATTACCCAAGATGAAAGCACTGAACCAGGGCCAGTCCCATAGTCTAGTTTGATTCTCTCTCAGTATATACTTGTAACTGGTACATTCAAGTTTTTTTCTTGGTTATTTTATTATTTTATTTTATTTTAATGTCTGCTCTAACCAAACCTTTATGAGGAGAGCTAACAAAAACAAGCTCTCAATTTTGCTACCTAGGGGTGCCTGAGTGCTTCAGTTGGCTAAGTGTCCGACTTCGGCTCATGTCATGATCTCACGGTTTGTGAGTTTGAGCCCTGCATCAGGCTCTGTGCTGATAGCTCAGAGCCTAGAATCTGCTTCAGATTCTGTGTCTCCCTCTGTCTCTGCTCCTCCCCTGCTCATGCTCATGCTCTGTCTCTCAAAAATAAACAGACATTAAAAAAATATTTTTGAATAAAAAAATTTTGCTAGCTAGAAGCATAATTAATATGCAGCAGAAATGAACTACACTCTACCAAAAGAAATAACAAACAATCTCTAACACTTTTTACTCACATCACTGTTAAATCTAGAACTCAGAAGACACGATAGCTTCACTACTGTGTGGCAAATCTAAACATGAATCAACCTTGTTCATTCATTCAAAATTAATACAGTAGACTAGAGAACCCAGAAACAGATTCATCCAAATATACCCAAATGATTTTTAACAAAGTGTCAGAAGCAATTCAATAGAAGAGGGACACACAGACATTTCAACAACTGGTTTCAAGCAACTAGACAACTACAGGCAAAAAAATGAACCTCAATTTAACCTCACATGTCACACAAAATTTAATTCAAAGTGGATCATGGACTTGAAATCTTCAGGATCTAGGGTTACGTGGAGAGCAAAATAAAAAAAAACTGATAAACTGGACTTTATCAAAACTAAAAATGTTTGCTATATGAAAGCCACACTGAATAGAATGAAAAAACAGCTACAAATTGGAAGAAAATATTTACAAACCATATATCTGACCAAGGAGTCATATGTATCTACAATAAAACACTTTAATAGTAAAAAACAAAAACAATTAAATCAGGCATTTTACAAAAGAGGTCATTAGTATGTAAGATGTCATCATCAGCCATTAAAGAAAGAAAGAAATGCAAATTAAAAAAAGCTAATCCTCCACATTAACATATGGTATATCTGGGTGGCTCAGCCTGTTGAGTGTCTGACTCTTGATTTCAGCTCAGGTCATGATCACTGGGTTTTGGGATCAAACCCTGTGTGGGGCTCTGTACTGAGCATGAAGCCTGCTTAAGATCCTCTTTCTCCCTCTGCCTCTTTCCTGCTCTGGCTCTCCCTCTCTGTCTCTAAAATAAAATTAAAAAAAAAAAAAATTGTTTTTCATGGCTAACACAGAGGCACCTGGGTGGCTCAGTCGGTTAAGCGCCTGACTTTGGCTCAGGTTATGATCTCATGGTTCATGAGTCTGAGCCCTGCGTTAGGCTCTGTGCAGACAGCTTACAGCCTGGAGCCTGCTTCAGATTCTGTGTCTCCCTCTCTCTCTGCCCTTCCCCCACTTCACTCCATCACTTCATCTCTCTCTCTCTCTCTCTCTCAAAAATGAATGAACATTTTAAAAAATGGCTAACATAAAAAACACCAGTAACACCAGATGCTGGCAAGGATGAAGAAAAACTGAGTCACTCAAACACTGCTGGAAGGAATGTAAAATGGTACAGCCGCTCTGGAAAACAGTTTGGCAGTTCCTTAAAAAACTGCACATGGTGTGCTTGGGTGGCTCAGTTGGTTGTGCATCTGACTTCAGCTCAGGTCATCATCTCACGGTCTGTGAGTTTGAGCCCTGCATAGGGTTCTGTGCTGACAGCCTGGAGTCTGCTTTGGATTCTGTGTCTAACTCTCTCTCTGCACATCCCCTGCTTGTACTCTGTCTCTCACTCTCAAAAATAAACATTAAAAAAAATTTTTTTAAACAAACAAAAAATACTGCACATGCACTTACTATAGGACTAGCAACTGCATCCGTGGGCATCTACCCCAAAGAAATAAAAACTTATGGTCACAGTTTTTTCACACACTTGCCAAATGAAGAACTTCTGGGTTGACATTTGTGTACAACCAATGTGTACAACCATTTGTGTGTACACAAATGTCACAGCAGCGCTGTTCATAATAGGCAAAAACTGGAAACAACACAAAGGTCTTCAATAGGTAAATGGTTAACTTCGTACAGCCATACAATAGAATACTATGCAGCAATAAAATGGAACTTTGGATTCACATACTAACTTGGGCAGATCTCAAGGGAATTATGCTGACTGAAAAAAAAGAATTCACATAGGTGACAGTATCATTCCATTTATATCACACTCTCAACATAAAATTATAAAGATGGAGACCAGATGAGTGGTCACCAGAAGTCAGGGTGAGGGGTTGGGGGGTGGTGGGTATGGCTGGAAAAGGAAAGCTTCAGGAGTCTTGTGCTAACAGAGCAGTTCTGTATCTTGACTGCAGTGATAGTTTTACAAATCTACATATGAGATAAAACTGTACAGAACTCCCATACGCACACACATGTACTTATAAAACCAGTAAAATAAGAATAAACTGTGGAGACTAACTAGTTTTGACGTTACTAAGGTTATACAAAATGTTACCACTGGGGAAACTGTGTGAAAGGTACATAGGCCCTCCCCCTCTTGTACATTGTTTTTACAACTGCCTTTGAATCCATAATTTTTTTTAATTTATTTATTTATTTCTAGGAGACAGAGAGAGAGACAGCGTGAGCAGGGGAGGGTCAGAGAGGGAGTCAGACTCTGAAATAGGCTCCAGGCTCTGAGCTGGCAGTCAGCACAGAGCCTGATGCGGGGCTCGAACCCACGAACCGTGAGATCATGACCTAAGCCAAAGTCAGACGCTTAACCAACTAAGCCACCCAGGTGCCCCGAATCCATGATTTTTTAATATAGAAAATAAACTGTTGCCATTACTTTCAGTTTTCAAGCCATTCATATAAAACATGCCATTCACGTAGAATACTCATGTAGAAATTTGCTATTCTTTATAATTAGGGAAGAAGTGGTGTTCCAATACTAAAAACTTTACTGAAACCTCTTTAGTTCATTTTTCAGGTTTTCAATATGATGCAAGAAAAGGTAACCATTCTTTCACAGCACCCTAGAGGAAAAGGACACTTGCATAAGAGCTCACTGAGAACACATGGCAGACTAAACATGGTTCTAAAGTAATGTCTGCCGGGATGCCTGGGTGACTCAGTTGGTTAAGCATCCAAATTTGGCTTAGGTCATGATCTGTCAGTTTGTGGGTTCAAGCCCTGCATCGGGCTCTGGGTTGACAGCTCAGAGGCTGGAACCTACTTCAGATTCTGTGTCTCCCTCTCCTGCCCTCCCCCACTTGTGCTCTGTCTCCTTCTCTTAAAAATGAATAAATGTTAAAAAAAAAAAAAAAAAAAAGAATAAATGTTGAAAAAACAATTTTAAGTAGTGTCTATGTTCTACAGGTCAAATATGGCCCATGGCCTTGTTTTGTTATGGCCCACAAGAAAATAGTTTTTATAAATTTTTTTAACTTTATTTGTTTTGAGAGAGGGGGTAAGAGGGTCAGAGAGAGAGAGGGAGAGAGAGAAAGAATCCCAAGTAGGCTCTGCACTGACAGTGCAGAACTCACGAACTGACAGTTTGAACTCATGAACTGACAGTCTGAACTCACGAACTGATAGATCATGACCTGAGCCGAAGTCAGACACTTAACCTACTGAGCCACCCAGGTCCCCCAGTTTTTACATTTTTACAGGGTTTTGAAACAAATAAACAAAGAACAATATGGCACAGAGACCATACATGGCCCATAAAGCCTAAAATATTTATTATCTGGTTCTTTCAGAAAATGTCTACCAATCTCTGCTTTGTAGTATTCCTCAATAACTTACAGGCCAACCTTAGAAGAAAGCCAGTCAGAATTTTAAAAAAATCTTCCCCCTGCTTTCACCATCCATTTGCCCTTTCACTGAGAAGTCTTCAGCCTAATGACAACTCCCCGATTCTGGACTCTTCTTTGTTAAGAACGTAATTTCAAGACACTGCACTTGGCAAACTTACCGTGGGGAGTGTTTTCTTTAGGGAGCCCAAAGTCCTGAATGAATTTCTGAAATCATGTCCCCATTCAGAAACACAGTGAGCCTCATCCACAGCAATAAGTGTGATACCTATAAGAGTGAAAAATATAAAAACAGGGAAAATAAAGTTCATAAAGAGGCAATAAATTCATCTAAATCAATATCACCTTTACTTCAAATATATAAATATCACAGAAAGGAAAATAAATAACAAATCAAAGTATTTGGTTCATAGAAAAATATAAGCATAAATGATATCAGGGAACATCAAAAGTCATTATGAGAATAGAGGATGGGAGATACATGGATAAAGGCCTATGGTTAAAAGAAGGAAACTTGGATTCAAACAACATTATTTATTACATTTCAACTTTCATCATTATTCCTCAAAGAAATGAGTTACTTACTATTACTTTGTCCTCAAAACTATCACTCATGAACCACTTGCAATGACAGTGTCTTAAAAAAAGAGAAGCTGAGTTTTTTCCCCCTCTCTCTTAGGTAATACTTTCAATTTTATCTTATCGATTAACTGTCAAAAGAGACAGAAAGAGCACATTCCTACTGAGATGAAGCGTATCATTGTCCGTGATGGATCACATATCATACTGCAGAGAGCTGCTCTGAAATGCCAATATTGGAAGACAGGATGACATCCACATTTTCTATTATAAGATGATAAGAACTAAATCTCGGTATGTACCAAGTAAGTAAAAAGGAATGCAATTCGTTCTTCCTTCCCCTAGCAACTCCTACACTCTGCCTCCCATCACACACCCACAATGAAACAGAATCAATAGTGTGTAGTAATGCATTTCAGAAACAGGCTTTATTGTATAACCATCCATTAAAATGTCTTTAGATATTTCAAAGTAATGATAGCCGTGCTTTTGCCTTCCATTACCAAATTAATGCTTAAGACAAAAATAATTTTGTCCTTCATTACTTGATACTTATTTGAGTATTAATCATTTTCTGCCATTAGGAGGGTGATTATAAATATGTGTTCTAGAGTCAGACTACCTGGAGGTAGAACCCGGCTCCAGCACTAACATTTGTATTAACTTAAACAAATTACTTAAGCTTCTGGTTGTCAATTTCCCACAAATAAAAGGTAGATAATAATAGTACTTAACATTTTTTACTTACTCTGAAGATTAAAGTAGATCATTCACATAAAATGCTAAGACAGGGCCTGGCATAAAAGCTCAATAAAAAAGAAAATACACTACTACAGTTATTAAATGTTCACTACGATCCATACCCTTTTCTAGGAAAAGATCAACAAAACGTACTCCGTAACCTTGAAAAGCTAACACTTCTACAAGAAAAGTCAGACAAGCAAATAAACAATTACAGTTCACTGAGATTACCAAATAACAATAGAGATGAAAGAGAAAGCAAAACAATAAAACCTACTAAATATGAATACAGGCTGATTAGTATCAAAATTCTCTGGCTGCTACTGCATAGCTGGGAAAAACCTCAATGTTACCACTAATTTGAGCTTTAGAAACTAAATGACCCAGATTTTAAATTAAATAGGTTAAAACAAACATGACGGCTCCTCTTTTATTTTAAAACCTTCCTTAAAATTACAGCTTTGACTAACTACCTCTTAATGGAGCTGAAATTTGTCCCTTACCATTAGTTTCACCAAGCTTTTGCTAACTTTCATGTTATTTTTTAAAAATATTTATTTATTTATTTGAGAAAGAGAGAGAGAGAGAGAGGCAGAGAGAGGGAGACAGAATCCCAAGCAGGCTCCATGTCTTCAGTGCAGAGGCCAACGCAGGGCTAAAACTCACACACCATGAGATCGTGACCCGAGCCAAAACCAAAAGTCAGACGCTTAACAAACGGAGCCACCCAGGCGCCCCACCAATTTTCACTTTAAATTTGCAAGTCCAAGTGTCTGCCCAAGTCCTATACATATTTCATTTTGGCTTATCTGCCACTCAAGCTTATTTCTAAAGTCAAAAGACAATTACAAGTCTGTTTGGTTTTAAGGAGTCTCCATATAAAATTATGTTTGCTACTTCTGTTATACACGCATACTACTTAAATAATGTAACATAAAAGCATAAACCTGATTAGTTAAATGTCAAACTGCTGTACAAATGGAATTCTGAGCAGATTCACATTTGCAAGCATTTTACAATTTCCTGCAAACAAAAGCGAAAGAAAAATCTTTCAAAAAGAATTTATCCCCTTTTGTTTAACATTGAGAGTCAACCAAAAAGAGCATTTTCATCCGTCCTATGCAGTGTTCTGCTCTAAAGGCTGCAGTGATTCATAATTTAATCAATTACAAAAAAAAATAGAGAATTATAACTAGTTGTCAAAGGATCTAAGCAAATCTTTAAGCTAATAACCAATTAATTCCATCACAGAAACAAAGCAAATATTAAAATAGAACAAAACATATCCAGCTCACCATAAATACAGATCCTCACTTTTGCTATAAAATCATAAAATTCCTATACCTACGGTATTCAGGCTTACTCTGAAGTGTAATATCCTTAAGAATTCCACACAATTGAATAGGAGACACAACAAATTTGTCTTTCATTAAAATCAAAAATATGCCAATAGGGGATACAATGTTGATAATATGTCTTTGATAACATATTTAATCAAACGTCAGCTTCTGTCCTCATTCTTTTGTTAGTATTTAATGCATACTAAAAAGATACAAATTTGTTTTCATTATATTATTACAAAAACTATTAAATGTATTCCTACAATTATATGCTACTAACCAAGCAGTAAATGAGATGGTGCAATACTGAAAATTTATCTATTCAGAATTATTTTAATATATAATTATTCAATGAGATCAAATAATATTAGAAAACTAAGACCGGTTAGTTGAACTGAATGTCTGAATGATGAGCTATGCTATGATTGCAACTCTTGGATAGCTTATTCTAGCCATCAAGAAGAAAAAAAAGCAGACAAAAATTTTTAAAGTACAAAAAAAAATAGGGCACCATCTGTTGACTAATTCTGTTATTTACATTTTCTAGGAAATAAGCTCTGATATACTATGTAACTTTTAAAAATCATACTCACTGGTGGCAAATAATCAAAGTTACTGTGGTTTTCAAGCCTGACTGCAAATCAGAATCTCTAGTGAAAAACCACAGGGGTCAGGGCCCCACCAAAGGCATGTTGAATCAGAACTTTCAAGTTTAGAGGATACTACATTTTTCTTAAGTTTGAAAAATGATTCTCATGAACAAGGGTGGAGAACTACTACATTGATTTAATTCAGATTCAGAATATGAAAAAAAGGAAATTATAATTTCATAGAATCTAAAATGCAACATTCATTTAATAATATATTTAAGTTCCTACTATGTGCCAGGGCATTTTTTTCCCCCAAAAAGTTTATCATCTAGCAGAAGAAAAGAGATCTATTAACAGGCAATTATAATACAGAAGCCTAATTTCTATGACAGAAGGAATTATAGGTACAAAGAATAAGACAGGGAAGACACCAAGTTGAAAAGTCAGAGATTTCCTGGAGGAAATAATGTTTGAAATAAACTTTAACAGAACTGCAATCCAATATCCATCCATAAACTTAATTTTAAAGGATAACTCGGGGCGCCTGGGTGGCTTAGTCGGTTAAGCGTCCGACTTTCGCTTAGGTCATGATCTCGCGGTTCGTGGGTTCGAGCCCTGTGTCGGGCTCTGTGCTGACTGCCAGCTCAGAGCCTGGAGCCTGTTTCAGTCTGTGACTCCCTCTCTCTCTGACCCTCCCCTGCTCACACTGTCTCTCTCTCTCTCTCCTAGAAATAAATAAAACATTAAAAAAAAAAAAAGGATAACTCAATTAAATAAGCACTTATAAAAAGATCCTATCCTACTACTTACCAATATTAGCCTCAAGTTGCTGGAATAGGCTCAAGTTACCTGAAGAGAATTCTGGAGTTACGTACACAATCCGATATTTGCCTCTGTAAAACAAACAAACAAAAGAAATAGAAAAGGATATATACAATAAGAAAAATAATCATCTAATGAATTACAACTTAAAACCATAATACCTGACAAATTTGTAAGTAATACATTATACCACTCAAAACTAAATGAACATTACATGTGCGTGTATATATCCACATACATTAGTTCTTTGACTCCTCTTCAACACATCAAAATAAAAAGTGGCAAAGAGTACTCAGGACATTAGAAGCCTGGTCCTGATTTCCAGCAGTCTAGCCCTGAAAACTATAGTGTTTGAGTTAAACGGTCAAGCCTATGGTAAACCTTCTATGTGTTAGCAATCCACCCACATACCATCCTTCCTTCTTGGAGAACTACAACCCATTACCCTACCACTGACTCCCTCCCCGTGTTTAAACCCACAGTGCCCATGCTTCTCCTATGTATTTTGCTCTCTTGCCTAAATATGTCTTCTTGGGCCAGGGTTCAGCACTGTATCAATGTCACATCAATTGGTCTCTGACCTAGAATCTGGGGTTCCAACCAAGAACAACTAGTCAGTCTCTACAAATGACAAGACCTGTAATATGTGAAAAAAGCAACTGCAGCGCAGTCTTCTCTATCTTGTGACTAGAAAAGCAGAAAATGCTTATCTTTTCCGAGACAACAACGAAGAAGACACAAAGAGGCTATGGATAAAAAGAAAGCCCTATTGTATTTGTGATACCCAATTCAAAGTCTCTTCCTAAGAGTTGGCTAATTTGTGTTCAGTGTGACCCACAAGACCTTCCTATACCCTTAATATAAAATTCATTATTTGCTTAAGCTAGCTTGACTTTTTTCTATTCTGGGCAGACAGAATCCTAACTAAACAATGTTTGTAATAAAGTTTAGGTCTAGGGCATTTAAAATATATAGAGTCTCCTTTTCACTCTAAGTGAAGACATAAAGTTAAATAGAACGAAAACTTAATTTCCTATATAAAAAGACTTAAAAATATTTCATCTACTATGTGCTAGGCATAGTGCTTTCATTAGGAATTAGGAAGAGAACAATTAGGAACAAAATAGATATGCTTTTATTCTCATGAAATTAATTCAATATTCTAATTAACATAGGAAAACAGTATAAATAACAAGTTCTGAGGTCAGCCTGCCCAAGGTCTGAATCTCATTCTACTTCTTACAAGCTAAGTGATCTTAACTTCAGTGTGCCTCAGTTTTTTCAGTGTAATATAGTAATAATAATTATAAAGACAACTAATTCAACAGATATCTACATTGAAGTTAAAGCCAATCAAATTCCAGCTGGCATGTAGGTTGAAAAGGTAATTTTGAAATACTCAAGGAGTGCTCATTTTGGCAGCATGTATACTGAAATACTTATGGAAACACAGAGGATCTAGAAAAGACAAAAAAAAAAAAACAAACTTTGAAACAAAAGAACAAATTAGAAGACTTGTGCCACCTGATTTCAAAGCTTATTACAAAGCTACAGTAATCAAGACACTAATCCAGACAGGCAGATTGATAGAACAGAGAACAAGATTATAGCAAAAGACCCATATGTATCTAGTCATTTTATTTCTGACAAAGGTGCAAAGGCAATTCAGTAGAGGAAGGAGAGTTTCTTCCACAAATGGAGCTGGAACCAATTGGATATCCTTAAGAGAAAATAAGTTGTAATCAGTAACTGATACAATACACAAAATTTACATTAAATGGGTAATAGACCTAAATGTAAAACTTAAAACTGCAACACTTAGGAGAATATATAAAAGAAAGTCTTTGTGATCCTTAGATAGGCAAAGGTTTCTTAGATTCCACACCAAAGGCAAAAAATCCATAAAAGAACAAACTGACAGGCTGGACTTCAAAATGAAAAACTGCTGCTCTTCAAAAGCACAGTTCATAGAACGACAAGAGAAGTCACAAACTAGAAATGTTTGCATGTACCAAGTAAAGAATTTGTATTCAGAATATATAAATGATTACCAAAACTCAGTAAGCGAAAAAAACGACAATAAAGAATGGGCAAAAGACGTAAATAGACGCTTCCTCAAAGAAGATCCACAGATGGCCAAAAAGTACATGAAAAGATGTTCAATTTCAGTAATCATTAAGGAACTGCGAATTAAAAACACACTGAGATTCTATTAGAATGGCTAAAATTAAGACTGGCCATACCAAGCAATGGCAGAGAGGAGGAGGGATTAAAACTCTCAGATTCTGCTACTGGGAATATAAAATGGTGCAGTCACTATCAACAAAGTCTGACAGTTTCTTTTTTTTTTTTTTTAATGTTTTTTATTTATTTCTGAGAGAGAGAGAGACAGCATGAGGAGGGGAGGGTCAGAGAGAGAGGGAGACACAGAATCCCAAAGAGGCTCCAGGCTCTGAGCTGGCTGTCAGCATAGAGCCCGACATGGGGCTTGAACCCATGAACTGTGAGATCATGACCTGAACCGAAATCAGACGCTTCACTGACTGAGTGACCCAGGCACCCCAAAGTCTGACAATTTCTTAAAAAGTCAACATAGAATTACCTATGACCCAGCATTTCCACGCATAAGCATATACACAAAGCATGAAAACATATCTTCATATAAAAACTTACACACTAATGTTCATAATGCAATTATTCACAATGGCCAGAAGTGGAAACAACCTAAATGTCCATCATTAATGAGCGGTTAAACAAAGTATGTTATGTCTGTACAATGCAATATTATTCATCCATAGAAAAGAAATAAAATACTGACAACTAAAGCTAAGTGAAAGAAGCCAGACACAAAAGGCCATACACTGTAGGAGTCCATTCATTTGAAATGTTCAGAATCGGCAAATCATAGAAACAGAAAGTAGATTAGTGGTTTGAAGGGGTGTCGGGGGGTGGGGGGAAGGAATGGACACTGGGGAGTGACTGCTTAATGGATACTGAGGTTTTTTGGAATAATGAAAATGTTCTGGAATTAGATGGTTAGATGGATAGTACAAACATGTGAATGTACTAAAAGCCAGTGAACTGTATACATGTAAATTGGTTAAAATGGTGATTATTATGTAAATTTATCTCAATCAGAAAAAAAAGTTAAGCATATATTCACCATATGATCCAGTGATTCCACTCCTTGGTTTATACCAATGAACACATATGAACACATAGCAATGAACACATAAATGAAAACATGTCTATATAGAGACTTGGATACAAATGTTCAGGGCAGCTTTATTTGTAACAGCCCAATATTGGAAACAATGCAAATGTCTATCAACAGTTGGACAGATGAAACAAAATTATGACAATACCCATATGACGTAACCTAGTCAGCAATAAAACAGAAATAAACAACGGATACATGTAACCGCATGGATGAATTTCAAAGTAATTACGCTGTGTGATTTAAACCAGACAAAACATGAGCACATATCGTATGACTGGTTTTTTTCATGTGCAATTTTAGAAGACAGAAGCTAATCTAGAGTGACAGAAAGTAGATCAGTAGTTACCTGGTGAGTAGGGTACAGAAGGTAAGGAATAAGTGAAAGGAATGCATTACAAAGGGTATAAGTAAACACTGAGGATGATAGAAGGTCAGCATCTGGATTGCAGTGATGGTTTTGTGGGCATTTATACGCCAAACTCACCAAATTAGACATTTTAAGTATGTAAAATTATTGTACGTCAACTATACCTCAATAAATTTAAAATGTTTAAAATGAAAGAAAATGTATGTTTTAAAAAAGATTTTATAGGGGCGCCTGGGTGGCTTAGTTGGTTAAGCGTCCGACTTTCGCTTAGGTCATGATCTCGCGGTTCGTGGGTTCGAGCCCCGCGTCGGGCTCTGTGCTGACTGCCAGCTCAGAGCCTGGAGCCTGTTTCAGTCTGTGACTCCCTCTCTCCCTGACCCTCCCCTGCTCACGCTGTCTCTCTCTCTCTCTCCTAGAAATAAATAAAACATTTAAAAAAAAAAAAAAAGATTTTATAGGAACGTTCACAGCAGCTTTATTAGTAATAGCCCCAAACTAAAAATAGCTTAGGCATCTACTATTAAGGAAATGAAAAAACAAACTGTGTTTCATATGATGACATTTCATTCTGATATAGCAAAAAAACTATGGATACATGCAACAACAGGAAGGATTCTCAAAACATTTTGCTGAATGAAAGAAGTCTTACACAAAAGTTTTTATTGTATGAATCCATTTATATGAAGTTCTAGAACAGAGAAAAAAGTATGGTAGAAAAAATTAGATAGTGGTTTGGTTTAGAATGGAGACAGAACGACAGATTAGGAAGAGACATGAAGGAACTTTCTAGAATGACAGTAATATTCTATATCTTGATAGGGGTTTAGGTTATACATTTGTATGTATTTATCAAAACTCAATAAATACCTGTGTATATGTGTGCATATTAAGATATATACAGTGTTAATATATATACACACATATTTTTGTGCATATGTGAGACTTTATTCTTGTTAGAAATTATGCCACGATAGGACTAGTGAGGCAAGAGATTTAGAATCCAGTCCCTGCTCAGCCATGAATTCATTGAGTGACTTTAGGCAAATTACTTACTCTGGGCCTCAACTTCCTCATCTGTAAAAATGAGACAAAAGTAGATACATATTCTACTTCTCTTTCAAAACCAAAATTTTACAATTCTAAGACTACAATGCTAAATTCACAGTCTGAGAACTAAATATAATAGATTTCTTTAAGTTTTAAAGATTTTTAAAATTATCAGTTCTGCAAATGTACTATAAGACAAAGTACTTTTTAAAATCAGGAATATTTTGTCCATGCATTAAATAAAATTCTCTCACATATCATAGACACAACCACATGATCAGAAATCATATAAGTTACTCACAATTTAACATCCTCTAGAACATTTTTTGATTGTGCTGATCCCAGAAAACAAGCTGGAATGTTAGACATCCTATAAGAAGAAAAACAAATATGCTGGAGCCATGTATACACTACAAATACCAACTTCATTCTTAAGAAATAAAGAAATAGAATGATGAACACTCCTCTTCTTTGCAATCCTTACTCTTTTTATAACTCACTAATTTAATAAACAAATTCCTTCAAAGGCCATAGTAGAAAGCAAGTTGTTAAGGCAGGTTTTTCAAAAAGATTATAAACTCAGGTTAAAGAGGTTGAACATGTTTCTGTAACTAAAAATTATACTTTCATGTATACACTTCATACCAAGCTAAGCAAAGGTAACCAAAAGAGGAAAGAATTTTGAGATATGAATGTAAACTGGCTTAGTGTTTGCTGTTACACAAATTTTTATTGGGGCCATCTTGTAGCCTTGGATTATAGAGAACTCAAGAAAGAAGGTATGTCCTTCTACCAAAGGGTCATTTATCACCAATAAAGATAGAGCAACATTCACAGAAATGTGTTACTGGGAACTAGATTTTAACAGGATAGATTACATATTTCCTTCACGGAAGAAAACAAAAACCACCATTACTTACTTAAGCTGGAGCACTTGGTCTTCCATCAAAGAAATAAGAGGAGAGATGACTAGGCCAATTTTGCCTGCATATACAGGTGGGTACTGGAAGCACAAACTCTTTCCATATCCTGGAAATAAAAACAATACACTGACAGAATAAAAATAAAGCATTGGTACTTCGATTTCTTCTTACAACGTAGTTGGGTGAGATGAACGATCACTACTAACATCTTATCCTCTTATCCTCCTAAGAGCTAATTCATGCATAAATTTGAGCATCTAATCTCAGATCACTCTCTTCTGAATTTTAAGCCATTTGCATTTGTATTTATGTTTTGAGAGTTCAGTGAAAGATTACACCCTTCAAAACCGCGCCTGGGTGGCTTAGTCGGTTAAGCGTCCAACTTTCGCTTGGGTCATGATCTCTCGGTTTGTGGGTTCGAGCCCCGTGTCGGGCTCTGTGCTGACTGCCAGCTCAGAGCCTGGAGCCTGTTTCAGTCTGTGACTCTCTCTCTCTCTCTGACCCTCCCCTGCTCACGCTGTCTCTCTCTCTCTCTCTCTCTCTCCTAGAAATAAATAAAAACATTTAAAAAAAATTTAAAAAAAAACAAAACATTAGGTTTTGTATTTTAGAAGGCTACATTATTACTTGAGTACAGCTTACCAGTTGCCATCACAACAACATTATCTCTTCTTTCTTCTAGTACAGAATGAATCACCTTCCACTGAACCCTGGAGGGTAAAAAGCAAAAGGTCTTTTTGTTTTCCTAAAAAGAAACCAAGAAGTTGAAACCTGTTTAATGTTTTCACTACTTCCAACTGAATTTCTTTTACATTTTTGAGCTTCGATACAAAAAAAATGTATAAACTCTGGAACTTTAAAACAAAGAGCCTCATGTGGTCAAGCTCCCATTCAAGCTGACTTCACAACTATGAGTTTCAATTGGTACATGCATTAAATCTCATGATATATATATCTAAAGTATAAAATAAATTCTATGCTTTGTACTAGAAATCCAGTAGAATTATTACTGATTTAAAATAAATAAAAGAAATGCTCTGGGGGCAAGGACTGCCTGAGAAGGGAAATGAGGGAACTTTCTGGAGTGATTGTAATGTTCCATATTTGACTGAAGGTTTAGGCTACATGGATGTGTGCCTGCACACTTAAGATGTGCAAATGTATACTTAAGGTTTGACCATTTCCTTATGTAAATTTTACATCAAAAGAAATAAACTATAAATATTTAACTATAATTAATGATTTATATGCTCAAATACTTAAGGAGACATGTAATGATGTCTACAATTTACCTTAAGATGCATTTTTAAAATTGGATAGATTAAGGAATGGACAAAGAGGTAATAGATGAACATATGATAAAGAGGGATAGTAAAATGTTGAATAGACAGGTATTCATAGTAAAAAAAAAAAAATTCTTTCAACTTACTCTATCTTTGAAAAATTTTTTAATAAAATGCTGAGGGAAAAATCAGTAGGAAAGGTGATCTTCTGATGTGCTGATAATGACCTATTTTTTCTTATGTGAGTGCTGGTTACACAGGGTGCCTAGTTTGTGAAAATTCATTCATCTGTACATTCATGTGCACTCTTCTGTATGTAGGACATAGTTTAATAAAAAAAAAAAAAACATTTAAGATCAAAGAAGAAAGGAAAGAAATGCCTCCATGGGTTAAATTTTAAATTCCCAGAGTAGGAAATATCCAGTTTAGATTTTTACATTCTTATTAGTTTTATTCAAATTTACTTGTTCCTCATCTCATTTTTATTCATCTCCTTTTAATACTTGTAAATGTGCCTCCTTAGAAATAAATATATTTGAATACACTAAAACTGGTAAGATTATCACTGTTCTTCCAAATGTTGTCTTATGAATTTCCATGATGTCAGCATGCTTTGAACAGTAAGATATACAAAACAGACACACAGATACTTATTTAATGACAAACAAGTCAGCGTTAAATTAGATTAATGTATTAACCTATTTAAACTAGTTTCTACACAGAACTCTATGGTAAATAAAATCATTTCCCTCTCTTATAAAAACAATTTATAGATATGAATTTTATATAAATATTACTTTAAAATAACTTTGTAATCAAAGGAGATACAGGGTTGAATGTATAAACTACAGTGAAGTTGTGCTACTACTACTAAACAGATAGATTATTTGCCATTTTTCCTTTGTGTAAAAAATTGTGAATATGTAATTTAATTAACTGAGGTTATACTCACGGCTTAAAACTGGAATGGCCAAAGTACTTCTTGAGGAAATTAATTTGCATTCTATTAGGTACTGGTAACAAATCGTCTTAAAATAAAAACAAAATGGCATTTATGTTAAAATAAAAGTGATAGGGAATAAAATTTTTATTTCATTGGATTCTTTTAAAGAATCTGGTGAGTGGTGCCTGGGGGGCTCAGTCAGGTAGGTGTCTGACTGTGGTTCAGGTAAAGATCTCGTGGTTTGTGAGTTTAAGCCCTGCATCAGACTCTGTGCTAACATAGCCTGGAGCCTGCTTCGGATTCTGTGTGTCTCTCTCACTCTCAACCCCTTTGCTGCTCACATTCTCTCTCTCAAAAATAAATATATATATTTTTAAAAAAAGAATATAGTGATAAATAACAAACATTACTGTTTTCTGTCTTTTAACTAAATTGCCCCTCTGTATGTCAGTCATGACTCCCACTCAACACTTTATTATCTAATACTAAGGATTAGAACTGTGTGATTCTACGATAAAGTGGTTCACATTTTGCCAACACTGTAAGAAAAACAATGTTTTGGAATTTGCTATAGTTCTAAAACCTAACATGTAGGGGCGTCTGGGTGGCTTAGTCGGTTAAGTGTTCTGCTTCGGCTCAGGTCATGATCTCGCGATTCAAGGGTTTGAGCCCCGTATCAGGCTCTGTGCTGACAGAGAGCCTGGAGCCTGTTTCAGATTCTTATCTCCCTCTCTCTCTGACCCTCCCCTGCTCACGCTGTCTATCTCTCTCTCTCTCTCTCAGAAATAAATAAAACATTAAAAAAATTTTTTTAAATAAAATAAAAACCTAACATGTAGACCCAGCCACAGCAAACAATATATCAATGCAAATTTCATAATACAACCAACTTTCAAGTAATAGTAATCAGAAATTATATGGTCACAAATAAAATCCAGAGATACAATTAAATCTTCATTTTAGTTACCATTCCACCAAACCTTTGACCAAAATTTTAATGGGATAGCACAATGGAGTTACATTAAGTTTTACTCAACTGATTTTTATTTTCTACTCAGGTTGAACAGTTCATGAGTGGTCAAGAAAGAGCAAAGCAAAGAATCAAGACCATTCACTTATAATAATAAATGAAAATTTATTATTATACTTCTCAGCTTTAACAGTTCTAAATAGAGAACTAAATGCATTTGAAGATATTATGCCTTGATTTAATACAAGAAAACAAAGAGAATAGCATTTTCTTGAATATCTTCATATACTCTCCACCTACAACATTTATTTTAATTTTCCTATAACATTGATGAATCTAACTCTAGAGTATCCTACTTCATGAGAAGACCCCATGGCTTGCCATAATGAATACTGTTACTTACGCTTGAACAACAGGAGGTTGTTTGGTGGATTCCTTACGATGGTTGATATACACAGTATGAAAATTCATCTGTTTTGCTATCTGACATTGTGCCACTTGTTCTAAGTAATAAATTCCTGAAGAACAGGCACTATATCTATGCCTTTAATGCTAATGTTTAACATAAGTAATTAAGGATTCTTATTAATGATTTCCTATTATTTTGACAAAATATAAAAATCAAGATGAAAAGTTTCACATCACCCTATGTGCCAAATAACACAACACTTCTACTACTCCACTTTCATAAAAAGTAAGATTAATGCTTTATAAAGACCAAAGTACTAAGGGACTTAATGACAAGTTTTTAGGACCTTATTAATTATATGCCACAAAATCCTTGCCTCCAAAGTGTTTAAAAACTGGACAGTAGAATCAGTAGTAGGTATCAGAGGTGAGTCACTGAAAACATATTACAGAGCTTACCTTCATCATCATCTTCTTCTTCAATAGTTTCAATCTCATCTTCATCTTCAGAAGGAACATCCAGATTTCCTTCCATTTTTATGCCTTTTGAATGAATTGGATCTGCCGTGCCACTATTTAGATTTTCTAAAGACTGAAAATTTAAAAGAAACCTTAGAAGCAAAACCATTGACAGTGTCGTATCTTTTTCACCAAACACAAAAGGAGTATTATTAACAGAACCTACAATTTTGTTCAAAGCTAACAGATGTGCAACCACTATCACAAAAGAACATGTGTGCTCTGGTTTAAATATGTACTCAAGAGTGGTTTCTAAGGCACAAGGCCAAAGATGGATTACTTCCAGCATAAACAGGGTTCATTAATAGCATAGAATGAACTGCCTGTGGGGAAAGTTATCAAATTTTGAATAAAATATGAATTTAAAACTTTTCTTCTTGGGGCGCCTGGGTGGCTCGGTTGGTTAAGCACATGAGTCTTGATTTTGGCTCTGGTCATGATCTCACGGTTTGTGGGATTGAGCCCCAAGTCAGGCTCCATGCTTGGGAGTCTTGCTCCCTCTCTCTCTCTCAAAATATATAAATAAAGCTTAAAAAAAAACTTTAAACTTTTTTCCTTTATCATACTTCAATGTTTTCTTTTTTAATTTTTTTTAATGCTTTTACTTATTTCTGAGATACAGAGAGAGCCAGTGTGAGCAGGGGACAGTCAGAGAGAGAGAGAGAGACACAGAATCTGAAGGAGGCTCCAGGCTCTGAGCTAGCTGTCAGCACAGAGCCCGATGCGGGGCTCGAACCCACGAACCGTGAGATCATGACCTGAGCCAAAGCTGGTCGCTCAACCGACTGAGCCACCCAGGCGCCCCATACTTCAATGTTTTCAATTGCCAAGAGGTAAATGCAGGTTTGACTGTTATTTTAGGAGTTTCTCCATATCACGTGTCAGCATAGCATTTAAACAACAAGCAAACAATAAATGTATTTTTCGTGAATTATGTGAATGTGTTTATGTGAATTATGAAAATAACAGTAGAAGATTTAATTAAATTTTAGGAAAGGAATATTACAAATGTGAAATAAAGCTGCTCTTTACTCTGGCTTGACAATAGTGGATTTTCTCCCCTGAATGAAGATTATCTATTTAAAGAATGTTAGAATATTTCAAAATTGTTTCATCTATACAGTGTTTTGTTTTCTGTTTTTTTACTGAGAAGTGACAATAATAATTATTAAACCACAGTTCTCCATTTCTCTTTTTATTAAACCTTCCACTGAGTATATTTGACTTTAACAACTTTTTAAAAAGTATATTCATTTCAAGCCTGGAAAAGAAAAAGAGTGAGGCTGTTCCAATTTCTTTACACAAGTCTACAAACAGACTTAGAAAAGCATTTTGAAAATAAAGTTCTCTCACATGTGCATCCAGATTGCCTTCTAAGAGATTCAATATAAAGTGTGTGGAAGTCTGCAAATGTCCTCTAAATGCGCTACTTGAACAGCATGCCACAGAGAAATGGTTAATCAATAAAGGAGTTTGATTTAGTATTTACATTCTATTATTGCTATTAGCTAATATTTATTAAACACTTAAGAAATGCCAGGCACTGTACTAAGGCCTTCACAAATGACACCTTAAATAATAGTTACATCTATTAACTGAGTATCAAAAAGACTAAGAAACTTGTCCAAAGTCACACAGGAAATAAATGGAAAAGCTGGGATTTGAATCCACATCTAAATTCAGAATCCAAATTCCCAGTCACTGCCCTGTACTCTGGCTCAAAACTAAAGAAACAGGACCTTAAACTCATTTCATTAAAAACAACATCATGGGGCGCCTGTGTGGCTCAGTCGGTTAAGCATC